CCCTTGAAACTAGATTGGAAGCAAGGAAAGAGTTGACAAGAGTGAAGAAACCTTTACTCTTGTCTCTATATATACTATCTAACTAAGGGCTACGTGGCGACGTTCTATAGGACCTCTAATATGTGTTGACTTTGTAGGACACATGCCTTGACTTACAAGGTAAGTTCTTCTACGTGTGGGCCACACAGTTAGCATGATCTTCAAGCTAACAATATGTGTGGCACATGGCCAACTTGTTGACCACGTTTTTAATCCAAAAAGTCAATTCAAGACACCTATGAAGTCAAAGCAGCGTCTATGAAGCTGTTAAGAAGCTTCCATATTAAATACTATAAGATTTACTTATTTTTACCTACTTTTACTTACTTCCACCTATTTGTATATGTAATTACTAGCTTACATGATTATGTCCCTGACAGACTCATTCTCTCTGCTGAACTACAATCAGATTTTAGCATTCAATCTTTCTTCTTCTCAAATAATACCAACCACATTTCCATTCCATAATTCACTTCACAATATTCAGAAACTCTCAATCCTCTTATTCAAAGAAAATAACAAACAAAAGAAAAGAGGTAGCACCAAGCTTACCCCGGCTCACAATTATCACAGTGATGGTACCTTAATTAACTTCTACAACTCTTATATACTTTCCTCTGATTCTCCAAATTCTAACCATAATTTTATAATTAACCACTTTTAATAATTAAATCACTCATCCGTTGTCGTATTACGTGCATTCTTGCTCGAGAACGCGTCGGGCGTCTGGCTGTAGAAGGTAGTATGGAGATTCATCAATAGTCAAGCAGTCTATCAGTTTTTGACTGCTGGAATATACACGACTGCAAGAATACACCGTAAATCTATACGGATGTCCTTCGACTGCTTGTCGAAGTCTTTTTTTGCCCCAGCCGGTAGGTCTCTAGACGTTACAGAGAACCCCGAATAACCCAAACTATTAATCTTCAATACCGCTTTGTACTTACGATCTTGTATCCATTGACTGTCTTATTAGATTAACCCAATAAATTTCATTCACTCCGCATACTCAATTCTATAGACACCTTTTTAACTCTTCATCACAGATGTAACTCGATTTCATAAAACAGTCAAGAGTAATCAAACCCACTTCATTAAAAATCCCAATTCACCATTACAACATTGACTTCAACAACGATTGCGTCAATCTTTCCAAAACCCTATGAAGAAGAAAAACCCAATTCTATGTCTTTCCTTCCCCGACCCGAAGCATGAAGCTAGCTCTTTCTAATCCTTCTCAAAAACTTTCCCGATCCGAAGCATGAAGCTAGCTCTCTCCAATCCTTCTCAAAAACTTCCCCCCAAAACTATATCTCTCCCCTAACCTTATCCTCTGAATTTCTTCAATCTTCCGTTTTAGATCCGGAATTGGCTCCCACCGTCAAGCTTGGATCTAAAATTGGCTCTCGCCGTCAGAGCTTTCTCCTCTATTTTTACCTTTAAGAAATCCATTTACCGAAAACAACGTTCCTTGAAATGGCACAGAGAATAGGTCAGCCTGAAACAGAATCGAAACCCCGTACTCGAGTTTACATTGAATTGCCCGACTAATTCAGGTTTCATATTGGATAAGAGTATAGTAGTAAGACTCGGATGTTCCCATAATTGGATCAAATTGGTCTTTTGCATCAGATTGGCTGAGGCCCGTAGTAAGACCTGGATTTTTCCGTAATTAAACTACATTGGGTTGCCCGGCCAATTCAAGTCTCATATTGGGTAAGAGGACCCGGATTGGATTCTCAAAATTGGATCCAATTGGCTCTTCAAACCAGGCTCACCCGTCGTGTGAATTGGTCCTTTCCCTTCTTGCTGACTCCGGTTATTGGAATCGAATGGAGCATTTCAGTATGCCCTGGCTGACTGTAACGGGGTGATTGAACCTGACCACTTAGTATTTGCACTGAAATTGGTCATCGCTCCCAATATTCGAGGTAACTCAACATTAATAAAAGTCCCCTTTCTTTATATTTTCAAGGTATACTTGTGTTACAACACGACATCCACCCCCTCTGAACCTGTGTATCCTCCGGTATGCACCAATTTACCCAATTGCTGTTTGATTCAGAATATATCTTCTACGTCTTTGTCCAGTTCGTCTTCGTCACCTTCATTATCCAAATCACTTTCATCTTCTTGCTGCGGAATCTTTATACCTTTATTAAGGTCTTCCATATTCATCTCTGCGTGTCTTCGTTTAAATATTTTTAGGATTTAGAGTTACAAGGGTGTCCCCGGTTTTCGGGCATCATTATTTTTGGATTTTGACTTGACCTACCCCTCCATTTATGGTGTCTAGAATGTCAATGGTATAATTCTTTTCCTATACAAGTTTATAGTTTGGAAGATTTAGCTACTTTGACTTGGAGTTTAGGATTTTGACTTTTGACATACAAGGCTTTTTGAAATTTTTGAAAAGTCCATTGGATTTGTTTGAGGGTTGCCAATTCTAAATATGGGCTTGAAGTTTTGAAAAGGTGCATATATTTGTAGGTATTAAGTGTTTGACTATTTTGACTTTTGAGTTGACTTTGCATATGAATAGGAATTTTGAAGTTTTGATTTGAGCTACCCCCCTATTTTAAGGGTCTAGGAATCTAGTGATGGTCTTGAAATCCTATACATGTTTTTCAATTTTGAGATATAAGGCGTTTGACTTGATACAATTTTCTGTTGACTTTTTGTATACTTTATTGTTTTGAATTTTTGATTTGACCTACCCCCCTATTTATCATGCTTCTGATTCCAATGGTATGTTTAAAATTTTCAGCAAGTTTATAGTTTAGGAGATATGAGATTTTCAAAATAGCAAAATTTGCCTTTCATTAATATATGAAAAAAATATTATAAAAATATGAAATAAATACATAGAGACTTTTGGACATTATAATAATATATTGGATAATTTATATAGGTAAATGTCTTTTTTTTTTTTGGAAAATATCATATTTATACTATATGTACATATGATTTAACTTTATATTATATGTGTTCTAAGCCTATGCAATGGATTGAACATGATTCCGCCAATTTGCACCATATTCTTGAATGAAGTGGCGAGCTCCTCCAACACGATCTTCATACACTCCATCCTTTTTCCAATATGCACCACTATTGGTCTTCTTTAACATCAAGCCATCTACACGTCTATCTACGACCCTACTATGAACAAACCAATGTGCATTGTGAAGAAATTCAAAGATGAGAGGACGAATACTTCGATCATCTTGCTCCCAACCATCGTAGAGGAATTGCCCCACTTGTATCAATGCTTGTTGACTTGCTTGGGCACTTCTCCACTCTCTTGCTTGTTGAAGTTGTCGCTCCATATGCTTGCCACTCCATCCTATTGCTTGTCTAGCAAATCTTAAGGCACTTTTGACTCGAATAGAAGGTGCATATGAATTTCTTCCATGAATCTCATTGGCCAACGTTGCTAAATGACTATGGCATATTTGAAAGAATCTTTGTAAAGATCCTTCTCGTATATCAAAATGACCTCCTATAGCTCTTTCTATGCCAGAATATTCAAAAAGGTCAAGATTACTACAAAATTTACGTCCATCTATTATTTTCTCTGTACGAACACTAAGCTCCAATCTCATGCCTAAAAGACAATTTCTTGATATATCTTCAGACATTCCTTCCCACTTTGCTAATAGGTCTCGCATTTGATTTAGTCTAATACGCATAGTACGAATTGTCCTAGGCATATCATCTAAACATTGCTTTTGTATGACAGCCAATATTGCATGGCATAACTCTTGATAGAGCTTGACTTTGACTATACGATTGTCTATCTTTGGCTTAAAAGATAATGATCCATATCCTTCTACATTGCACATTTCGTATACTTGATTTTCTATAATCCTTTGACTTTGTAATTGAGCATTACTAAACTTGAAGAGCATAATATTATTCTCTGGAAAATTGACTCCATAGTCATAGAGATTCTTACCAAGAGAAAAAGTATGATCCATTTCTGCATGGTAACGTTCTATGAAAAAATCTATCTTTGGCTCAGCAATAGGAATTTCCCACTTCATACCAAAAAATGAAACTCGACACAATTTTGCACCTAAGAGAAGAAGTGCCTGTGACATAGCAGAAATGGGAATATTGACCTGGTTTCTACTTAAAGTGAAACTGTTAGAATTAATTGTTAATGCTAAACCAAAATCAGTTTGTAAGACTTTTAAAAGTTGATTTTTAAAGTTTTCTCTCTCATCATGGTTATTTCCTGCAAAAACTTTGACAACTATAGGATCTGAAATAACATGTAACCAATCATGAAATTCTTCTAGATCTTTGACTATAATCCTTCGGTTAGCTGGACGAGCCATTATGCCAAATAAATTTGGCAAATCTATAGTCAACATGAGAAAACAAGCAGCATCAAGATCCATATACTTAGGATCATTGATCTCTTCACATGTATCTATATTAGTATTTGGTCCAAAAAGTGGTAGAAATCTCTCCAAAGGTGTACTTTCACAACTCTCAATAGACGAAGGAGGGAAGAGACGTCTAAGAGTGTTAGTATTTTGTCCTTCAACATTTTGAGCTTCTACACAAGGTCGAGTAAAGATGAACTTAGTTTTAGCCATGATGAACCAAAGATTGCAAAAAAAATCTAATGTGAAAAGAATTATTAAAAGATTAAGAAATTTGTAAATCAAAGGTCAAATGTCAAATTGTTATGGCAGCAATATCCTTTGACACTCAAACAATCGCTAGTTCTTTTTTTGATTTTTTTTCTTCAAAATTTGTTTTTAGCGTTTAGGGTTTAGGGTTTAGGGTTTAGGGTTACATGGGTATCCTAGAGGTTTAGGGTTTAGGGTTAAGGGTTTAGGGTTTAGGGTTTAGGGGTAAAGGGTTTAGGGTTTAGGGTTACAAGGGTGTCCCCGATTTTCGGGCATCATTATTTTTGGATTTTGACTTGACCTACCCCCCCATTTATGGTGTCTAGGATGTCAATGGTATAATTCTTTTCCTATACAAGTTTATAGTTTGGAAGATTTAGCTACTTTGACTTGGAGTTTAGGGTTTTGACTTTTGTCATACAAGGTTTTTTGGGGTTTAGGGTTTAGGGTTTAGGGTTTAGGGTTACATGGGTGTCCTAGAGGTTTTCCATCCTCAATATCTCTTTATATATCACAGCTTTTTCTGTTTTAAGATTTTGCCAAGGCTTAGAATCATCCCAAGACCTCTACAAATGTTTTTGTTTTTCAGAAAAATATGTTTCGTTTTCTGTAATTTAGGATTTGAAAACCCTAATTAGGGTCTCCACACCCTGATTACAGTTCTCACTTGCATATTTTTTCTCATCAAACAACTGTGTATGGAGTCTAAATACGTACAGAACACTGCTTACTCAAAGCAATCCCCCATAGATAAGTAGTTCACCTAGTCCAGGTCTAGAGAATCCTTCGGGCTTCTCGCCCCTATGTCTTTGCCCGCTCTCCACCTGCTGCACCACCGGCTCTCCTTCCATCAGGATCATCGTTGACGGAGTCAATATCAGCTCCATCTTCGACTTCTGCAAGACTCCCGCAGGCGACCAAGGTGCCTACCCCTGATGCATCCGTGAGTGCAGCCTTCGAGACTACGCCGCTTACTGCAGTGTCGCCTATACTCACATTACAGATTCTGCAAAATCAGACATCGACACGCTCGTTAATCACCCCGCACTCACGCCCATTTCTCAACCGACCCCAACAACAGAAAGTTCAGCGGCAGCGGGTATCGTGCGAGCCCGACCAGCATCGACCTAGGCAATCAATTCTACAATGCCGCACACCCTGCACTCCACTGGGCCGACCTCGAATGCTCCAACGACTGGCTCAGACCGTCACGTCCCCATGGTCCGTCGTAAGACAAGTCCTCGTACCTCGACGCTCGATCGTAGCTCCCCGGTGCACTGGCTCGAGGCAAACCTTCCTCACGCCTTGTGCTCCGATCTCTTGTCGTCGCTTCCTGTGCCTCCTGTGCTGCCGTAGGCATCCACCGCAGCTGCTCCGACGTATGCACCAAAAACCACACTCGACGATGCTAATTCTGCCCATCCTTGCACGGCTGCGTCCAAGTACCCAGCCAAATGCAGCCAATACTCAATACTTAAATGCACCCAAACTCGCACGCATCGCCTCTCCGAGAGCTCCCTTTTTCGAAACTCCCTACACGCTGTCCCCGAGTCCTCGTACCGCCGCGGATTGCAACGCCTAGCTTTCTCGCCCGGGTGGGCAAATGGGCCTTCCGTCCAATCATGGCTCCTCCCTCTCATACATCGCCTCACCTAGAATTCCAACATCCGGAACTCATTGCACCCGTACATGTCTATCACTACCCACGCCTCCTTGTCCTCATTGTTCGATGACACAAAATTATTGAACGACGCATCAAAAAATGTCTGTGATCCTAGCGACCAGGTCCCTCGGCCCCGAGCAGTGACGCCGATCCCAACTTCAACCCTCGCATGTCCGTTCGACTTGCTCCCTTCCTGCCTCCTCATAAAAGCTCCCTTCACCGCTCCCCGCCTCGATCCGCGACTCCTCGTTTGCCATCGAAAACCCCGAAAACTCACCCTTGGACATCGACAACCTCGGCGGGCTCCAAAAGAAATTGTTGAATGCGTGCAACCCTAAACCCGACCCCTAAAAGCTGTGGCTCCTCTGGTACACCCCACCCAACGCATCATCTCGAGGCGCCTCTGCATCGTGCATCGCCGCGGGTAAGAACGAGGTCCACCGCCGAGCAGCATGCTGCGCTTGCAAATCCTGCGACATAGGCATGTAGTCACCCATCGATTCATACAACGATGGCGACCACCAACTCCCCCGTCCACCGATGCCAGTCTCCTCGCTCCGCCGCTCATAAACGGTGACTTTTTTCCTCCCCCCACGAAACCCTAAACCTGCTGCATCTCCAAAACTGCCATTGTCTCTCTCGCAAGCCCCTGCTCCTCTTCACTCCACGTCTTTCTCCACCCCCTTCCCTCGGTTGCATCTCATTGGCCACACTTCCGTCTCTCCCAACCTCGAACTGCCCTCCGACCGCTCATTCTCCCCGTGCTTTGCAAGTAAACCTGAACGATGTGTTCGTTGAAACATGCGTCGCACTATCTTGCTCTTCTGTGAAGCCTGAGGCAGCCTTCGATCGAAAGACTAGGCGACCAGGTTTTGGACCAGCCCGTACAAGGGGAAAGAGTAATGAGAGTGGCATCCAGGGAACGGTGGCAGTATGGGATGGACGGCGCCCTTCATGTGCCTTTCTCCTGTGCGGGCGCATGTGCCCGGTTTTGGGTGTAAACCTGATCGTGACTGGGACCTCACAGGTGATATTCACTTCTATGAACCCGCATCTATGAATTCATAATTTCCACAGCATGGTTACCTGCTCGTGTGTTCGGCTCACAATTTTGTGCTTTGCCTCTTGTTTGAGTTGAGATAATTGTCAACTATCTACTTATAATGGTTCGGGTCCTTATGGAAATGGTAGTAGATAAGGGTGTTGGTTTGGGTGAAGGAAGATGAAGAAGTCGCCTCTTGATTATGACTCATGGCACCCAAGGTGGAAACTCTCTCTCAATCAACACACATAGATTCTTTGCGCGGAAATCGTACTTTTTTAAATGGAGGTGTAGTGGTGGCATTATTCAACTGGTATTGTTCTTCTGCAGCTGGAACTAAAGTGTATCTCTAAGCGTTTTCACTCTTGATATTGGAAGTGCAAATGGCATCCAGCAAGTGGGTTATTGCTACACAAGGGTGATATGGCGAGGGAGTTATGTTTCACAACTGTATTCACCTCATTCCCCTCCTGTTCACAACTGTCAAAACGGCCGGCTTTACTCAGTCTACGACTACTCCTGTGGCCAGTTTCGACGACCCAAGACAAACGCTTTGCAGCAGCCATCCCTTGTCATGACTTGAACCTCCACCGTGACAACGACGAGCGAGATGAACTGCGGAAAAGGAGGACTGCTCTCAACTGGGTGTCACACGCATGGTCGACCACTTCTCTCAGACTTCACTTGTGTCTTTTGCTTTTGACACTACAGTTCCAAGCTCCTTCATTAAACCTGATTTTAGCCATATGACCTCATATATATTTCTGCGTATTCCATCTTCCTCTCCGACTAACTGTAGGGTACTTAGGTTTAGGAATAAAAATCTAGATCATCTCTTGTTTGTAGGGTATACTTTGGACCTATAAATTGCCACTGGAAGCTTTCATTTCGAAGACTAAGACTATAAATTGTGTACCCTAAACCAAGGTATTCATCTATTGTGAGATCATCAGCTTTGGACATCACCATTTGCGACCAAGGTTTAGGAGCTTTGTGCAGCTGATATGGTTATGAGTGGATGGCTTGCAGACTTCGTAGTAATCTGCGTCTTCGATCTTAATGTTGTTGTTGTTGTTGAAGCTTAACCGCATTGCTCAAGCGTTTAGGGTATGACGAGCACCTGTGCTTCCAACATTGAAATGCATATTATAAAACGTGCGATAAGGAGGCGTCAGGATCCGGTCTGAGAAAATGTGGAGCAAATACGAAGGACTCACGCTCCGATAGACATTTCCCAATCCCCCACCCGTCCCTCCACCCTGCTCCGCAATTCACACCCAATTGGGCATTGCAGTGCCAATAGCCATACGCTGCATTCATTCCTCGTCTCATGCGGTCGTGTTCATTGCCATCAACGCCAGCCACCGTCCCTGTCGTTACGTTGGCCGATTCCTTTATGCTTGCCAACCTCCTAAAGTTACTTTGTGCCAGGCCCTAGAAAGGAGCAATGGTAGCAAGAAAAGGCGGCCAATTCCAATTGCCGGCCATGCAATTCTAATTGGCAGACATGCATTGAGCTGTTGGCAGCCGATTCCAATTGAACCTGCTCTTTGAAGCCAATTCCAACTGGACCTGCTCTTGGCAGCCGATTCCAATTGAACCTGCTCATGGAAGCCAATTCCAACTGGACCTGCTCTTGGCAGCCGATTCCAATTGAACCCGCTCTTGGCAGCCAATTCCAACTGGACCTGCTCTTGGCAGCCGATTCCAATTGAACCTGCTCATAGAAGCCAATTCCAACTGGACCTGCTCTTGGCAGCCGATTCCAATTGAACCTGCTCTTGGCAGCCAATTCCAACTGGACCTGCTCTTGGCAGCCGATTCCAATTGAACCTGCTCTTGACAGCCAATTCCTACAAAACCTACTCTCGGCACCCGATTCCAATTGAACTTGCTCTTGGAAGACAATTCCAACTAGACCTGCTCTCGCCAGCCGATTCCAACTGAACCTGCTCTTAGCAGCCAATTCCAACTGGACCTGCTCTTGGCAGCCGATTCCAATTGAACCTGTTCTTGGCAGCCAATTCCAACTGAACTTGCGCTTGGGAGCCGATTCCAATTGAACCTGCTCTTGGCAGCCAATTCCAACTAGACCTGCTCTTGGCAGCCAATTCCAACTGGACCTGCTCTTGGCAGCCGATTCCAACAAGACCTACTCTCGGCACCCGATTCCAATTGAACTTGCTCTTGGTAGACAATTCCGACTAGACCTGCTCTCGGCAGCCGATTCCAATTGAACCTGCTCTTGGCAGCCAATTCCAACTGGACCTGCTCTTGGCAGCCGATTCCAATTAAACCTGCTCTTGGCAGCCAATTCCAACTGGACCTGCTCTCGGCAGCCGATTCCAATTGAACCTGCTTTGAGTATTATCAGCGTTGGCATCAACTTCAAATGTTCCAAATGTCGCCGATGTGCCGACACCGCCGACATCTGCTTTGTCCCCTAGCCCCTGAGCTTGCGCCACTTGCTATAGCGTCGCTTGCAACATCCCACGTTACCCTCATGACATCGACTTGCTTGTAAATGACCCCGCATTTGCCCCCATTCCTCAACCGACCCAGGCGATGGCGGAGGCGACTTCGAGGGAGACAACGAAGGGCTCAACAACACAGCGTATTGCTTGTACTTGACTACCGTCAACCTGGGCGATGAATTCTGCGATGTCACATACCCTGCACCCGAGTCGGCCGAGCTCGAGTACCTTGACAAGTGGCTCGGATCGTGACCTGCCGATGCTACGTCGTAAGACAAGCTCTCATATCCAAACGCCCCATCATAGCACGCCGCTGCTCTAGCTCGCGGCGACCCATCGTAACCTCCTCCGCTTCGACCTCCCGTCGTCACTGCTTGTGCCGTTGCAGGCAGCAACCGGAGCTACTTTAGCGTGTGTGCAAAAAACACACACCCAAACGACGATAATTTTGCGCATCTTTGCATGGTTGCATCTAGTATCGAGCCGGATGCAGCCAACACTCGAACACTCTGTGCGTGAACTTGCATGCATCGCCTCTCCGAGAGCTTTCGTTCCAAAAGTCCAAGTATGTCGTCCCCGAGTAGTGGTACTGCCGCGGATCGCAATGCTTAGCTTTGTCGCCTGGGTGGACAAACGGGCACTCCGTTCAATCATGGATCCTCCCCCTCGTCCATCGCTTTACCTTGAATTCAAACATCCACAACTGATCGATCCATATATGTCCACCACCGGCTATGCCTCCTCGTCCTTGTTGTTCGACGGCAGAAACTTATTGAATAGTGCATAAAAAAGTGTCGGTGACCCCAGTGACAATTCCCCGGCTTCCAGCGATGACGCCGACCTCAAGCTCAACCCTCGTAGGGCCGCTTCACCCGCTCCACTTCTCGCTTCCCGCTCCCCGCCTCAATCAACGATTCCTTATCCAGAATCGAAAACCCTGAGAACTCACCCCTCGACACCGGCAAGCTCGACGGGCACAAAAAGAAATTATTGAATGCGTGCAACTGCGCGCTCTTCCTGCCCCTCAAGTTGTGGCTCCTCTGATACATCCCACCCAATGCGCTATCTCCAAGCACCTCATCGACAGGACCCCGACCCTCAGCTTTCCTGACTCACATTTCGAAGGTTACAAATTATGTCATCCTTTCTTGTGTTCGGTGTGAGAAGCATGCAGCATCTTCCTTCGTTGCATGTCATGCATGCAGGTGGATGCTTTCCATTTTATGATTATTTTCCATCTCTATGATATTAGACTAGAAACTTTTTCACCGGGATATGGTTTTCTACAGAGTCGAGTTATGGAAATCAATTGGAGTTCTAGTGGAAGGACTTGATTCTCATGTTGGCCGGACTACATTAGAATAGATTACATCGGGTGTAATCATAGAATCGTATGGTATGACATCTGTTCAACCTTGGTCATCTCATTGAGCCTAGTATATAATCCGTCGACCTCCGCCAATTGGGAACCATACATACACACACACACACACACACACACACATGGAAGCATGTAGAGTTTTAGACACAGGTTGACATGTTATGCAGGTGGTGGAGTAGACAAGAATTGACCTAATAAGGAACATGCGAAGCGATGTAACGTCCCTCTGTCTCAAGCTCCTATTTCAACCTAAAACACAACAAAGGAACACAATCACTCACCGTAGAAAACACACACACACACACACAAAATAAATAAATAAATAAATAAATAAAACAGAAACAAAAATAATAAAAAACAAAAAACAAAAGCAATGCAAATCGCCCCAAGAATGCCTCAACTTCACTTCGAAAGAAAAAACAGATCAACACAGGGCAGCCGAATTTTGATCCAACACAGGATCACCTCCAATGCTTGGAGTTCGAGCTTGGAGTCTGGCTCACCCCGCCTTACATCACAACTTCATCTTTGACTGGACTAGGTAAACCTGGTTTAGGGTTTTAGGATTTTAGGGATTAGAGGTTTTGCAACACTCGCAAATTGTGAAGCTCAGTTCACAATTGCTTTCATGCCTCCACTCATTCTCAACGCTACAATTCAAGATTACTGGCTGCTGCATACCCCAGAATGCAATAGCTTTCATCATTTCATGTGAGCCAAGGGAAGCAGCACCCTTTCACAAATAACCGACACATTCTATACAACACAAAACAAAAAAATACAAACAAAGCCAAATACACAAAATGGACCAACAGCCCGAACAAAGCAACAAAATATATAAAACAAATGTGTCATACAAAACTTGAAAACCTAGAAATGAACTAAAAGTCCACATTCTCCATCAACACTAAAATCCCAACAACAACAACAATAACAACAACAACAACACAAAAAAAAAAAAAAAAAAAAAAAAACTGTAATACCTTCCAAGAGACCGCAGGCAAAATCTTGCACAAAATATATTTCTAAATAAACCCACATGCATTCGAGGACGGCGAATACATGCGACAGCTCATGAACTTGAGCAGTAAATCCTGTCCTTGTATCCATAACAAGAGCCCATAGATTTGTACAAGAAGCCACACTGCTTATATACAGACCGTCTTCATTACCCTTTTCCACGTGCTCCGTAAGCCGGGAATCAGCTGCATCGTAGTGATACCTGCACGTCGAAACAAATGTAGGAATGAAAGTTCAATAAATGGGTCTGTCCGAATCCAGGCTGCTTGCTGAAAGTAAACGCATGTCATAGAAATCGGAATAGCTGATCGACATCCAGGAGGACAAAGTCAAAATCGACGATACACACATGACCGGGCTCATGCCTAACTGAGCAACATCCAACCACATCAATGACGAAAGCTCGCACCGCCTTACCTCTGCTTCATTTGGCCACCGAGCGTTGTAAATGTTGTAATCCATTGAGTTGCGGGCATTCCTAACCGGATCTTTTTCTTAGGTTGGTCATCCTCATCTTCTTCAACATCTGATTCGCCCTCTCTTTTGACCAACCTGTATGGAACACTAGAAACAAAAGGCTTTATTAATATGATGATCAAATGAAGAGTAGGTTCAAAAAAAGAATCCTCAGTGTAGGGACAGGAAAAACGAAGCAAAAAAAGGTCATAGAATGCACCTTTTCAACACCGTCTGTGTTTATGGGTCTCACAGTAGGATTAGGACCCAAGATGGAATCGAAGAGTAGAACGAGCTTGCCGTGGTTTGGCTCTTCATCGAACTTCATATTTGCGACCATCTCCAAAACGTCTGTTTAAAAACGGAACCGGGCAGAAACAGCACAGCATTTCGGGAGAAGTTGCTATTTTCTTCTTCCACACCAGAAAACCTTTGTTGTCGCCCTACAAAACCAAATATATAGAGCACGTCCAAATGAAAAATAGTGAGAAGGAAGGAAGGAAAAATAAATAAATAAATGTATATATATATCGCATTGATCACTTCTTCATTAGCTACTAGCTACAAAGTTGATCAGTACCTGATAACCTTGCCAAGGAAGACTACCCCGCATAAGGAATATCAAAGTATAAGCCAGTGATCCCAAGTCGTCCTTCCTACTCCCAGTCCTTCCCATATGTGCATGCACACTCGCATAGCGAACAGTTCCACTACATGTACGAAAATTATACAGAATCAAAATATAGCTCAAAAGCAAAACAGTCGCTCCCAACCGCCAAAATAGGAATGGCAACTACAGATCAGGACAAGGGGGGGGAGGGAGAGCCTCTCCGAAACACATCAGGCCTTTGGTCATATTCTACATGCTGACCGGTTGTACCATCCCTCCATCGAGTAGCTGCATATATGGGAGAAAGACGTTAATCTTGGTGTGAAATTGACTTGTGCATGGACGTAGCGGTAATAACTCATCCAATCTCAGTCCAGATGCTCTTCATGTAACAGTAACAGATGTAAAAAAAAAGGAACAGGCTAGTGCCCCTTTCTCGCCAAATTGGAG